GCTGACTGTGATTAGGCATAAATTGCTTTCCAGCCCAAAACAAGATGGATGTTCACCACTGTAGAGGTTATTGACCCGACGCCATTGTGCGTCGTTGTAGGATAATATGAGGTTATTACATGGATACCTCAAAGTAGGCACGAAGACAGTTCTGCATATATATGGTACATACAGCAGCTATAGGGACGACTAAAATCATGATATGATGTGTTATAAGATTTCACCCATAACGTCACATGACTGAACCAATTTATATGAAAACATTTCATTCAGTCGCGTCGAACAATTAAAATACATTTCGACAAAAAGAAAAACTATATGGAAATAAAATATAAGCACAATGGATGTAATATATGAATGAAAAACAAGTTGCTATAATGAATAAGTCTGGAATATTGGACATAAAGATAGAAGTGTATTGACAAGTTTCATAGAAGCAACTTATAATTACATAGACTCAATACAAACGATGAGACACCACGACAAGACCAAAAGCAGATTTCAACAAGATATCACTATATAAATAAATCAATGGAGACCATGCTTCTGGACAAATGTCGAAACGTGTGCCATGTAACCATTGCAACGTTATGAATACACGTTCACAACTTTGATATATTTAAAATTATTCAATCTTCATAATTATAAAAAAAAACCGACACCCTAATATTTTTTGAGGATCGCCAAACTCGTTGTCGTTTGTATAACTCGCCCAATCAGAACAACGTTTCCAGGCTATTAAAATACTGGTATAATCTTAATACATGCAATAATATTTTGTTATCTGTATGCAACATCGAACACAACTATTAAACATACTGTGTTTAATATACTCCGGTATACAACATGAAAACAATATAGCAAAAGACACTCACTACAAAAGTAAGTATATGAAATAATAGATGAATGGAATTTTAGCTATTTGAACAAGTAACGCGGGTTTCAAACTCATGACAAACTCGGTTAGAGCCCTTGACATTCATTAGTAATACAATATAAATGCATTAACATCATACATTAAGGTAGAAGCCTAGTCATAATTTATGACAAAATTGGTCATAAATCGCATGACAATGTTCATTAGTTTATTATGTACAATCATGAAGCTAATGTCTCATGGTACAATGAAATAGCATTATTTTGTGTGTTAGTTATGCTTTTTGAGAAATGTGTCTTAATATTTCTTGAAAATTGCTATTTTTAGAACAATTCCATAGAACACAATGTTAAGGAAAAATTGCATTTTTTGACACTTTTTAAAACCCATATTTTTTTTAAATAATTCAGAGCAACAAAAAATACTCCATCATTAACAATACATGATTTTTTTTAGCCTATGTGACCAAGTGTCAAAATGGCGCCTTTCCACTAAAATACATCCAGCAATTTCTCGAAAAAAGACTGGCGACCCCCACTTTTTAAGGTCAATATCCCTATATTGCCTTGCAGTACAATTTATTGCAAAATGAATACATTCTGTTTTTTTTAATTTATGAGTAGGCTTCTACCTTAAAATATAACCATTCCCTTATAGCGAACTTTCAGTATAGCCTAATAACTAATCCATAAAGAACAACGCATCTACGCTCCTTGGTAAACCATTCGATTTCCTCGTTACTGAACTTTGTGTCGATTCTTTCCTTGGCTCCTATTGTCTGTCTTCCAGTTTTATAACTATCAGGTCTGATGCACACTTGGAATGCAATTTTCGCTTTATAACTTTTCCCAGAGTCTGTGAAGCTGAACAAAAAATGGCACGGCTTTATAGAGAGGCTATGGGTTATATACAATAGATGGAATATCAATAGCGTATTTCTGTTATGGCCGACAGATCACAACACATGTGGTATACAAGGTTTGGGCGAATGGTGTACAATTTGAATAAGGACGATAACAGCTTTTCTCGAAATCACCATTTTTCACTTTACCTAAACTACATACAGTACCTTAAATTGTGTATTTTTTTTTATATCTCATGCACATATTTGGAAGAAAACAACTGAGTTGAATTAGAAAATAAATATAATTTTCAGAAACTTCAAGCATAGCGATAACAGAAAATATGTAACAGGTTGGAGTTTGAAAATGGGTGTCAACGAATGGGTCTCATTCTTAAAAAGTACAATATTTCATAGGTCGAATTAATCACAATATTATATATTCACGTAATAACTTCAGTAATTGTCATGTCATAATTGACGTAACAATGAAGCGATGTCTGTGTAGTAATGATATTCACCGACAGATCGTCTACCGCAATCTGGTCCTGAGCCACATTCGTAGGCGCGTCATCGGAGGACGTTCTGATGCGCATATGGATAGCCAGTTTTGCAGAAATTAGAACGTACTTTAGTATATATATATATTTATTCAGTACCATTGGCCATATGCCATAATGTACACACTTAAATGTAACATAAATGAATAAATAGATCGTTTGACAAGAATAATCACTGCTACTGCTTGTCTGAATATTACAAACTTATACTTCACCTATGAATACCAAATTAAATTTATATTTCAGTTAAATTTCCCTCCAACAAACTATGACGTTTTTGTATTGTATGTATATTTTCAGATTGCAGTAGCAAAATAAATTTCCATTCAAGCGCTGGGCAATAGTAAAACTTGTATATAAAACGAGTTCTAATTTCCTCAAATTTGGGACATTGTAATAGAAAGTGGAACTCGTTTTCAATGAGATTACAACCAAGAGGACACACTCTTTGGTCAAGTGGTATTCCCAATGCCCTACCCTTTTCAATCATGAGCTCATGAGCAGATATTCTAAAACAAGTGAGAGATTTTCTAAAAACACTTATAGTAATAGAATTTAGATATTTTTCCCTGACTAATATTTTTTTAAATTTAGAATAAGTGCATAATTTTGAACTATTACCAATCTGATCATGCC